AGAGACTAAGACATGACAGAGATCCTGTTTTTAATATTTACTGAAAGCCAACAAAACTCTAATATACATGAGAACAAAATTATGGCATGATCTTTAGCCTCTGGGGGCTTGGGATGAGTCTTCATGAAAAGCTACAGTGCTGGCTTCCCACCGAAGCAGAGCAACAGTTAAGAAATAGCACACTATCAGTGATTGGGTGGTGTGACTGCACTTAGCAAGCAGAGCTTTTCAGCAAGATGGAGAGGCACTCCTTGTTCTCTGCTGTGGGCCCCTGAAGCAGAGATTCAACCCCATTTAATAAACTTATTACACCTTAGTTATCTTTATTTGTTTATTGAGTCTATGAATATTTGCTGAGTGCAGCCTACTATGTGTCAGGCACAAATCAGGCACTTAATAACTGTTGGTAGAATGAACAAATGGAATCTCACTCAGCCTGTGAGAATGCAGTGTATATGCATGTGTAGGGGGCATGAGTGTAGGATTTTTAAAAAAAGGTGTTGCTTGAGCTAAATTTTGAAGTATGAGTGGGAGTTACCCGAGTGGCTAAGGAAAAAAAAAAAAAAGCATTCCAGGAAGAGGTAAAAGCACATGCCAAGGCATGTACTGCTATATGGGGACTCCATCATAGCTCAGATGGTATGAAGCCAGCCGGTTGCTGGATAGAAATAGCCAAGGAAAACTGCCTTCATGTTATGAATCAGCCCAAAAAACTGGTTTGAGACAGTATGCTTAAAATATTTGTTTAGAAGGGAATATGTATTTGGATTCCAGGAGGTTAAAAAAAAAAAACAAAAAACCAGAGAATTGAATTTTCCGAGGCCAGGTAATAGGATAGCCCTGATTAAGTACCAGGGCTGACCAGTGAGCACACTACTTGGCCTTTGGACCCAACAAGAAACTCCTCTCCATAGCCTAAGAGCTGGTAGGTGGTGACTGTAGTGAATCACTGGGGCTTTCCCTCTGGGAGACCCATAAACTTGATTAAGAGACTCCAAAAAGAAAAAAAAATAGAAGAGAGAGTGATCCAGGCAGCCCATACACTGTTGTTTTAGTGAGAAGACCCCAGTAAGGTGAAACATTCCTCACTAATAGAAACATGTATGTAAAAGGGCTTTAACTACAACATGTTATCCAAATATAAGGTACTGTCATTATTATCATAAGAAGCTAAGAGTGTGGCCAGTTCATTCAAAGCAAATGGACAAAAGTAATTTTGGCAGGGCAATGGCAGGGGGATTAACAGTGGAGCTGCCAGAGGGGGCACAGAATAGCAGCTGTATTTCAATGATGACTGGGAAAAGGCATACTTACTCTACATTGACTCCTATAGATACTCTGTAAAACTGTAATTTCCCCTTACTTTTCTCTATAGTAAATGATTAGAGAAATCCAGACTGATTCTATGTGAACTCCTCAAGGGCAAACAACTGTCGTATTTATCTAGCATAATGCCTGGCAAGTAGGTAGCACTTAGTAAGTATCTATGAGTCTCTGAGGGGATTGCTAGAAGGGGAGGAAATTTGGAGAGGGATGTTATAATGGAAAAAATAATGTCTCCAGCTACAAACTGATGGTTTCTTGGTCCAAAGCTGGTAAGCAATTCCTGTCAGAACTTGGTCATTAAGATTGAGGGGTGGAGTGGATGATGATATTCCCATCAGAAATGAATAAATCAATTTGAGAAATGAAGATAGCAGAAATCAAGAGTGCTGCTGGAGAAAAGCAGGTGGGACTAGAAGATAATAGATTCTGTAACTAAAGAGAAAGGAAACTATTTGCATAAATATGATCCACTTAGGAACAGGTGTACTGAAAAAAAGGGAGTGTGGGAAATGGGCTGGAGAAAGCCCTACTATTCATGTTTGAGGAAAAGGAAGCACTGTCAAAAATACTGCAAATGTAGGAGGAAGAAAACTGTAAGAATGTGATCAGAGAAGATGTGGAAGATTAAAGGCTAAAAAATCCTTAAGTAAAACCCAGACATATCTGTGTACCTGCAAGTGAAATTCTTTCCCCTTTTATTTTCCTTTGGAGAGAGCATTTTTTTGAGTAGATTAAGGCAACTATGTGACATCCTTCACATCCATTCTGGAATGATTTGACTTGTGTTGTGATTAGCGGAGAGTTAGACAGTATTCTTAAGATTTTTATAATCTTTGTTTACCCAAACCTGGACATCAAGGAGATGATACTCAAGGTCCAGTATGTGGGGAGCACCTGAACCCATCTAGCAATTCCTCCAGGGACATGAGAGGGTGTGATACCAAGAGCCCTCAATGAAAAGACCCGTGTAGAAAAAGACCCCAAGGACATATTCTGAATTGGAGCAAAGATCATATTTGCAGGCTTACTCCTTCTGATTTTCTTAAAAAACTATAAAACTATAATATATAAAAAACTATATGTATATATATATATATCTCCATATCCCTATTTATTTTGGTGTGTTAAGTTGATGAAAGGGGTTTGAACTGAAAGGGGATTATAAACAACTCTGTAATGGGGAGGTGATTAACCAATATAAACCTTTGTCAGAATTTACTCCACTGAGGGAGCTGTGCATGACATGCCACACCCATGCTTCAGGCAGCCATTGAGTTAAATAGAAAAGCTAACAATTGGCAAATTAGGCTGTTTTGTTTTCTCACAAGCTTGATCTTTCCTAAGTAACCCCAGGAGCCCAGGGAAACCACTTCTATTATAGGAGGATGTCACTAGGTTTGGCTATGTGGAAGGATAAAAGGGGAACAGGAAAACTCAGAGTGGTTCTCTGGTGAATTACATTGCTGACTTCCCTCACCACTCCATTTTTGGACAAGAAACCAGAATCTCTCCTTGGTCCCAAATTTGCACCTTGGCATTCAGGTGGAATGAAAGCACTACCACAGCCAAGGGGGTGAGATAAGGGTGCATCACTGTATCAGGTGAAGAACCCTTTGCCCTCCCCAGACAATGGACTTCCAATAAGCCTTCTTTGGTTCTGCACCTGTTCAGCCCTCCTCCTCATCATACAGAAGCACTTTTTGGAAAAACTGCGTGTTATCTGTGGACCAGTGTCTATGGTGCAGTATTCAGATGGCCACAAAGACACTGTGAATCACGCTTCCTAAAAGTGACCCTGTCTCTCCCTCTGCTCCCTCAAGGATTCTGCAAGCTGGGAGGGTGGTCTTAAAAGACCATCCTCTGAAGTGTTCCTCTTGTTTCCCAGAGCAAGTCCTATCAAAGACCACACCCAAAGGCCTCTTCCAGACCCAATTAAGTCCGGAGACACCCAGAGGCATCATTACAGTGGGGTTGCCAGTGAAGGAAGCCACACCCTGAAATCTGGGGATTCAGTGGATATCAGTTCCTGCAGCAGTCTCATCCCCAATTAAACTGTCCTCATTCACTTATTTAATCATCACATTTACTAATCGTATACAAAGCCCTATGTTTAGTATCTTAACGCAACTTAACAAATATACATTCTTGCTTCTGGCTCTCCTTGATAATTTTTTTCCCAAATAAACTTCAAAAAACAGATTTCATGATTCCAAGCTTTGTGAACTTGGACAAACTGCTAAACTTCTCTGAGTCTAAAGTGCCTAATGTTTAAAAGGGATAATTTCATAATGCTGTTGTTAAGGATTATATGAGATGTTAAATATCCCTGGCATGGTACTTGGCATATGGGTGCTCAATAATCCTACATATCCTTTTTTCCTTCCTTCAGAGGACTTTCTCTTCCAGGACCTGCCAGCATCAATTATTCCACCTGATCTTAACGGCTTGCTTGTGGATAGTCAAGCCCAGGGCCCCAAGTCTCCTATCTTTGCTTCAGAGGCCTCACTGGTCCTCCCTTCCCTTAACGCCCTTTGCTCTAATAGAAGTTCCTGCCTCCACAAAAATCCAGCTTGGAGACAACCTGGGCTACCACGGAGAATAAAATTTCTAATGGGGTGGGGGTTGGAATGGACAAAGGCAGCAGTCCCGCAGGGCCCCAGCCTCTCGACCACCTTGGAGGGACGCAATTTAGGGCACACTGAGCCCTAGAAAGGTCAAGGCCAAAGTCCTGTGGGCATATGGGGAGTTACTCCTGGCCTAGATCCCGTGGCAGGCTCCTCTCCTTCCTGTCAGAGGTTCCTTCCAGTCAGTTCTAGGGCACAGTCTAAAGTATTCCTTTATACAGGGGTCCTCTGTGGGGTCCATCTCCACCGCGCAGGCTCCCGAGGCTCCGCTATGTTCTCAAATGGCCTTCCATTGAGACAACACCAGAGACCACCCTTGCCCTCCGGTACTTATACAGACGGTCTCTCTGCGGGGACAGTGCCTCCACACTGCGCCTCCCCATGGCAGCAAATGCAGAGAGAGCCCTGGGAGTCTCCATTCACACAGGGGTCCTCCTTGGGGGCGGCTCCCCGCACCGCCTCCGGGACTCTCCCAAGGGGCAGAGGCAGGGACACTTGGGGGTTTATCCCCGTACTCAAGGACTCCCTTAGGGGCGGCTCCCACACAACACCTCAGAGTCCCCAAAGGGTTGTCCGAGGCCCGCAGACCCGTCCCTTAGGGTGCCTGCCGGGTCCCCGCCGCCCCCGCCCCCGCTTACCGGGACCGTCAGGGTGCGGGACGCGGGTCCGGGACTGGCGGACTCTACACCGCGAACCCCGCGCCGCCCATGGCCGCTCGGTAGCCGGCGTGCTGGGGCCGAGCGCCGGGAGCAGGCGGCGCGGGCGGTGCAGCAGGCTGAGGCGGCA